CCGCAACTAAATTTAGATGCTGAACTTCCTGCTCCTTCCATCCGGTGTCTGGTAGATGGCTGTGCTGCAGTCATAAGAATTAACTGGGTATGTGGTGGAATTTCAAAATGGCAACAGGATCTTTAATTGAATGATCAGAAATAGTAAATGGTGTCTCCCTTTTATAAAGGATTTTTTTGTACCTGACAAATCTGAGCACTTCACCAGCTGAGAGTCTGTTTTGCATTTTGCCTTTTGGTTTTTTTTGGCCACCATCTGAGTGAATGCTTAGATAATACACCTCTCACTTCTGATGTCTGGAACTGGGGTACAAACTTGTTGCACTCATAGGCTGATAAGAATTATCTGAAAACTGACACTGCCAATTGTTAGAGAGCCTGTACTTCCCCTTTCTGAGATGCCTAAAACCGAGTACGGAGCCTCTAATTGCATGCTTAGATAAAGCAGCCCCCTTTGGACAAGGGCTGACGTTAGTGGTGAAGTGGAGAGGAAGTATCGGTGTGTGACTTGGCAAAATCCAGGCATCGCTTAGCAGAAGAGATAGCGTCTCAAATGCAGCAAGCCAAAAAAACCCCAAAAAGGCCAATAAAAAACTTAGGAAAAGCATAAAAACATAAAAAATTGAAGGAAGAATGTTTCAGACCTAAAATAGAATTTCCTTTTAGATGCTGCAGCATTTTCTTTTTAGTGATGTTCTTAAACATGGAAGAGAATGCCAAAAAAGAAGAAAGGAGAGAGAACGATCTTAATGTATAACTTTAAATCTTACTCTTTAGTAGAATCAGAAGCTCATTTTCTGTTAAATAATGGAGAGTCATGGACAAAAAAGTTATTCTGGCCTTGACTAAGGTGGTCTAAACTTTTTGAAAGGAAAAACAATTGTCTAAAGTTATGTAATATGTCACGGTTGAACCAAGAGCAGGATTTCGACATTGCTTTCTTATCTTGTAGGATGGACAAACTATGGCTGTGCACAATGAAGTGTGTGGTTTATGGCCCCCCCAGAGCTTCAGAAGATTTTGGTAGAACAAAAGCTCCAGCTAGCAAGCTTGGTGAATACAGTAGGGACAGGTACAGCATTGGGATCATGGAGACAGATTGGTCTTGTGCTTACATAAAACATCGTGTGCCTGCTTTAGGGTTTCCATGCTCGTTTTTGAAAGCGGACACTAGGGACTGAAGATGTGAAGGATGAGTGTTTGGAATGTGAAAAAGATAGGATGGTAAGAAAGTGGTCAGGAAAAAGGGGCACAAATGGGCAGGAAACTTTCCACGTACCAGTGCCTGCTCTGCAGTGTACAGTGTCTCTTTTTTTCCTCTAGGATCGTAGCAGTATTGTCCTGCTTTTTCTAGTGATTTGGTTCAGGAGGGGCAGAATAAAGATGGCCCAATACAGAATTTCCTCCTGTCATGGTAAAAAGATACTGCCAGCAGAGATTGGTTGTGGGAGCAGCTATTGTTCATTAAAAATCTAAGCAGTGCACGAAAAACCAGATTCAAACAAGTGTAAGGCCTAGAAACTTAAACAAGCTTTCTTCATTCATGCAAGGTAGTGCACAGAGCCATTTTAGATCTGTATATCCCCCTCATTCAGATATTGGGGGGTAAACTGCTTGATAAGGTAAGCAGGTGTCAAGGTGCTTCTGAGGGGGGTGGGGAACACTATCTTCCAAACTAAAACCAGCTAGCTCTTACCTGCTTGGGGACTTGCTTTCCAAAATTCTTGAAGATCTTTAAGAAACCTCATTAAATGCTCAGCTGCCCCTCCCTGTGCATGAGAAGGGTCAGTTTGTCATGGTAGTGCTAGTCATTGATCCTCACTTTCACAGCTTTTTTCTTTTTTTTTTCTTCCAATAAACTCTGTTTCCCCCAGTTGCTTAGTGGATTTGTATTTTCTTTTTTTGTGCAGTTTTCTGTTCCATTATGTCTTTATGGTCATAATGCTCATGGAAAGATTTAAGGGGAAGAGGCTGAGATTCTTTAAACCCACACAGTCTCACACCCTGGTAGGAGTCTAGAGAGCTTCAGGGAGCTGAGTACACTGTGTGAAAGCAGCACTGGGAGCCCATTTGCTTCCAACAAACTGGGAGTTAAGCTCCTTGATCTCACACAGGTATAGGGAGCACAGTGAGAGGCAGCTGGGTTAATTAAGTTTCCTAAAGGTGCACAGGAGAGATCCATTGTGCTCATTAGGAGCAAGAGCCTATAAGGGCTGGGAGAACACAAGGCTGTGGGAGAACAGATGGTGTTATGCCTTGGTCCTCTTTGGGTGCATTCCTACTTATCTGAGGTATTCTTCTTTCAAATTGAAGGTTTTTTTAGCCCTGTTGGAGAATGGGTGGGTTTGAGTTTTTCATTGCTGTGGAGCCATGGGGAAGGTGCAGTAGAAGGGCAGTAGGATGCTGTGGAGGGGAGGAAAGTGTGCAGAGTGGTTTGCAGTGAGGACCTCGAGTGGATAAACCAAGCCTAAAACTGACTGGTAGCTTTGGATTGATTTAGCAGCAGTCCTGTGGTAGATCAGGATTGCTTAGAGAGGAATAAATGTATTGAGAGGAATTTCAGCAGATTTAGGCTGTGAATCTAACAACAACATGGTGCTGAGCATGTCAATCTGATTGTATACGTACGTACGGGTTTGTAGCATGCTCGGAGAGTGTGTCCGTGTGAGGAAGCAACTGGAGCACCCTGCAGACTGCTCTGCTCCCAGAGCCTCGCTGCTGGTGTGTCTGTGAGGCCGATGGGATGGGCTGGGGAACAGCCAGCTCCTTGCGGGCACCTCCTGGGGTGCTCCAAGTGCTGCTGATTCAGGGGTAAGGAGGCTTTGGCAATCCAGCCCCCAGTGGCGCGGGGACCTTGAGCCACACGGCAGGACTGAGCAAGGCCCTTCCTGTGAGGGCTTTGTGCGAGTTCATCGCACGTTAGCGGTTGCTATATTGAGGCTGACAGATGCACGGGTGCCTTTAATTGCTTTAAGAGCTTAAAGCCCACAAGGCATGGGGAGGAGGCACAGATTTTCAAAAGCAATCAGCTAAGTGCCAAACCTAAATGCCTGCATTTATGAGACTGCTGTGCTTTTTGGTGCTTGAACTATCCTGTGGCAAGTGTTTGCAAATTCAGCTCTTAGCTTCTTTGAAGATCTGGCTGTAGTGTCTTATGAGTTAGAACTATAGGATGTGTGTGGTTGTTTGGGGTTTTTTGTTTCTTTTTTTCTTCCCTCCCCCCAATAGGGTTTTGCAGGATGGGGCAGGGGGTCTGGAAGAGGAGGAAGTTTTTTTGTGATATTTCCCGAGAAGGAGACTAAAACCATATTATTCTTGCAGCTCCAGATGAAGGGGGAAAAAAAGAAAAAAAGGAAGCCTTTCCATCCCACCCCTGGACAAGCCTGCTCCAAGGAGACTACACTAAACAACACCAGGGAAACATGATTCCTTTAAGAGACTTAGCAATACCTGTTTTCACTCAGTGCCTGTTCCTGGGCTCGGATTCCGAAGTCACAATGGTAATGTTTATCTGTTTGTGTCTGTTTCTGCATTAACATGCTTTATTTTCTTTCTTCTGCTTCTCCTATTCACCTTGTCCTTTCTCCAGGTCCATTAAGGCCAGGTAAGGCATGCAGAAGAGCACAGAGGGGAGGCAAGGGCACTGCTCTTTGACCTATCCCAGTCACCTGGAAAGGACAGGCAAATGATACTGAAGCTTTTGGCTTCATGGCCTCTTAAATGTATCACTCTTCTTTTTGTTGTTGTGTTTTTGTGTGTGGAAAATGTCTAAAGCAAACAGGGAACAAGGCTAAATGTGGCCCCTAATGGAAGAAGTGGTTGGGAGACAAAAGTATGCTCATGAGAAAGGCAGGGTATGATGAGGAGGGAGGGAGGAGGCACAGGGCTCCTCTGGAAACACCATCTCTAGCCCTGCAGCTTGTGGAAACGAAAGGGTTTTCCATCTCTGTAGCCCTTAATGAAGGGGACAGTCAATAGTAGTGATTTGATGGCATGCCTGATCGGGGGCACCTTGTTCTTTCTTCTCTCATTGTTTCTGCCATTGTTGCTACT